CCAATTATCTGAAATTAACATTTGTATTTTCTTCTTCTTCGTTCTTTATTCTAGTGTTCTAGATTTATTATTTTGTTTTTCTAATTGGTATTTTTAGCCTATGTTATACTAAATGTGTGTGGATATAATACTATTTAGTTATTTCTTTGCTTTTTCACTAATATCGTTCAACGTGTAGTAAAGCACATTGCGTTTTGACCAAGAAATATTTTATAAAAAAAAATATTTCTCAAACAAGTATACCATTACAAAAATAAAGGCCTATAATTCACGTGTAATTTTTTTTCGGAGGGTTGGGGTTACACTGGACCTGGCGACGCCACTTCCTTGAACCTATGTACTATTTAAATTATTTTCTTTTTAAATAAATTAAAACAGAGCTACACGGAGAGAACTGTTTCAAATCGAGGCACGAAACAAATTGATATAACCAAACTTTCCCATTATTTCTACAAGTCAATTCTTTAATTCAGCTAGCTGTTTGCAATTAAAATTTGAGCCTGATAATAATTGAAAACTACGAAAAAAGATTAAACAATCATTTTTGTAAGAAATAAAAATAAGTTTAATTTGATTGACACTGTAAACAATGTTTTGTACTTTTTAAAATTATTTATGAATTTCTTTTTACATGTAGCCTTTTTTGGGATCAAAGTTATAGGTTATCCTTCTTGGTTAATTAAAATTTATAAGTGGAAAGTAGCATAGGCGAATTCATTAAATAAATGTTCTTGGTTCGGATCATAATTAAATTAATTCACAAGAAATTTAAATGAGCAAGATATAAGCCTACATTTTCCAAATACAAATGTATCTATTGATATAAAGGCTAAAGTGGGAAAAATGTTTCTTAATTTGTAATTGTTAGTCAAATATGTGGATATGTGTTTAAAGGAAACTTTTACATATTTCGTGAATAAAATAACATTGCTAGTTTGATGCTGTATTTAGAGGCGTTCGAATACAGGGACTTCCTTGTCTTATGTACAGCTCAGTCATAATTCCTTGTAGCGAAAATTTGATGCAGAAAGTAAAGTAGTTGACGGAAACAAAACTGTTTTCTTAAATATTTTCTTATAAATGTTTTAATTAGAGTAACTGTGCCCTAACCTCGGATAAAATGTTAAACCAGAACTGAAATACTTTCATTCACTTTCAGAACTGTGCGTTAGGTATGAGATGTATTTCTTGAATATTTTAAATAAATGAATTGAAAATTGTGCTGATGAATTAATAAATCAATTGCTAGGTTCTGAACTAGATGCATTAAACTTTTTAAACGTTCTAGACCAGGGGTCGGCAACCTGCGGCTCGCGAGCCGCATGCGGCTCTTTTGGTGTCCAGTTGCGGCTCTTCAGTTCCATGCACAAATATTAATAATTATTTTATTTTCAAAAATCATAAAAATATTTGTCTGCAACACTCGGTAATAATCGATAAAACATAAGATATAAACAATAAATATTCACTATTATATTAGAAAGTGCGCACGTAGGCTTTTATATATTAGGATATTTAGTTAGTCCCTATCTCAATGTACTTCCTATTACATTGTCCATTCCGAATTGAAACATTCAACTTCATAGAGGATATCACAAAGAAATTAACCAGCTAAGTGTAAAACTGAAAGGAAAACCCAGCCTATGTCTTGCTGGAAGAAGTGGTTTGTTTCGAAAAAAAATACTTTTTTGTTGAATACGTGGTGAGCAGTAAATTACTTAATTACGAAAAAAATCTAAAAAAAAATCGTTATAAAACCAATGCTACTATTCAATCACTTCAGCATTAATATAAACAAAATGAAGGATGTTTTCACTGAGAGATTTGAGCTATTCAAAACGAATGCAAGTACTCTGACTTACATAATAGATCCTCTCAACACAAATTCAAATGAGATTATATATATATATATATATATATATATATATATATATATATATATATATATATATATATAATCCTAAACTAATATACTATTGACATAAAAATATTAGTGGCTCTTTAAAAACCAGATAATGTTGTAAATTGTAACTTTTGGCTCTTTCGGCTCAAAAGGTTGCCGACCCCTGTTCTAGACACCGGCCTTTATTTTACAAAATTTCAAAGTACACTGTGCTTTTCTCTAAAAATGTTTTACTTTGCGTTATTATATATATATATATATATATATATATATATATATATATATATATATATATATATATATATATATATATATATATATATATATATAATTATATAATTATATTTAATACTGTATTTATGACATCATATGACAAGTGCCGTATTTATAGTACTGTATTAGGTGTATTTGGTGATGGGGGTGGGGGGAATGATAAGGTAAAAACCGAAACCTTGTTCAAGATTTATCCGCCCCTCATCTGCTGTATGGTTTTCTACAAACAGTAATCATTTTAATACATTGGTTCGTCTAGTTATCCAAACTGTAATAATTTATTTTAAATATATATTTTATGTAATTTACAGCGTCAGTTTGCCTTGTCGTGTCCGCTTTAGTATTACAGTTTTCATCATCGGCTTGCAAGGACTGATACAGATTTACAATAGTAATTTTCTTTCTGACATGTTTTTTCATTATTTTTTAGGAAGGTTTTCTTATACATAATACATTGCATCTATTTACAATTATATTTTTGCGATTATTAAAGAAAGAAAAAACGTGTTTTCTCCAAGATTTACTAGATCTAAAGGTTAATGAAATGAAAGTGTTGAACCTTTACTGGTCTACGTGTCAGTTATTTCATTTTGCTAGTTGTTTTCAATTAAATTTAGTTTCTAATTAAAAATTAAGAATTTTAAAAAGTTTAAATAGCAAAGAAAATTTCATACACAAATTTAAATTTAAAAAATTAGTACCTAGCTCATTCTAACAGAAGGTAATCTTCGGACAAACGGTGATAAGGACATGGAACTGGACCGCATCTCTCTAGCAGACAATGAAGTTTGCCTGGTTGTGGAAGACATGAACAGCCACTCTCAGTGCTGGGGTACCCTGACCTCAATGGTAAAGGAAAGAAAATTGAAGAATGGCAAGCAGGAAGGCTTACACGTCTAAACAACCCTGATGACAAACCAGCTTTCTAGTCTAGAGCACGGTCAACCTCATCCATCTCAGACACAGCTTGTGCTACAAACGACACCAACTGAAAACTTTGCTACAAACGACACCAACTGAAAACTTTGCTACAAACGACACCAGCTGAAAACTTTGCTACAAACGACACCAGCTGAAAACTTTGCTACAAACGACACCAGCTGAAAACTTTGCTACAAACGACACCAATTGAAAACTTAGCTACAAACGACACCAACTGAAAACTTTTCTACAAACGACACCAGCTGAAAACTTTGCTACATTTTACAATTTTACAATTGTTTTGTTGAATGTTTTCAATAACTGATACCTCAACAAACGACCGGTGTGGGGGTGACACCACATTTAATAAGTTACTATGAAAACTGTTGTTTTTTTTCACTTTAAATAATAAGAGGAGTAATATATTTTTTTGCAGAAAATGATGAAACTTGTTAAATTGGAGTGGAGGGGGGGGGGGGGGGCGTTCGACACCAAATGCAGCTTTCACAGAAGAATGTAATGGTCAGAACAAAATACACCACCCACAAAAGTGGTTGGTCCTGACATCACATTGAAAAAAAAATTGCAAATCAACAAATCCGTTGATGGTGGAGCGTTGCGGCTAATTAAAATATCAATTCTAAATTGCTCATCGAACACGTCATTACGCAAATGCCCCCAGTGTAGAGGTAGCGTGTGGTGGGAGGGGGGAGTGACACAAGTAAAACAATAACTGTAAATTAGATATTGTAAGTTTGCTTCATTAATTTAAGATAAAATGCCATTTTTTTAATTTTAATTTTTGTATTTTCTTCTTCTTCTTCGTTCTTAATTTGAGTGTTCTAGATTTATTTCTAATTTTTCTAATTGGTATTGGCAGCCTATGTTATACTAAATGTGTGTGGATATTTTACTATTTAGTTATTTCTATGCATTTTCCCTAATATCGTTCAACGTGTAGTAAAGCACATTGCGTTTTGACCGATAACTATTTAAAAAAATATTTTTCTCAAACAAGTATAGCAATACAAAAATATAAGCCTATAATTCTTTAGTAATGCTTGCCGATAGCTAGTATATATATATATATATATATATATATATATATATATATATATATATATATATATATATATATATATTGTTCGGAGGGGGGTACACCCGTCCTGACGACGCATCTGTCTAGGACCTAGAGTGTTTACTATTTACAATTATTTCTTTTATAAAAATTAAAACAACACAATTTTTTTTAAAATTTTTTATTGATATTTTATTATTTGCAAAATGAATAGTTATAATATAAACAAGAGAGAAAAATTATGCTTAACCCTTATAGCTCCAACTTATTTTTTTCAAAATTGTATTCCTCAGCAATACATAGGTCTACTAATAATACTAATATTACTTTACAATTAGTCCTCTTGGTCCCAGAGATTATATTTAAAAAGTCTGAAGTATTTTGTTTTGGGGAAATATTTACTAATTACTTGAATTACACTCGTAAGATTTTACTACATCAGCATGACTATGACTACCAACTGGCTTTTCAAAGCTATTTTGTCAATCATTTATAATTACAGATCTGCATACACAAAAAATATGGAAAATTTATAAAATTAAACTAAGTTCTGCCCATAGCTTTTTGTGCTTATATTTAGTATCCGTTTGTTGCAATTCATGCCACTGGGCATGAGTGAATTGAAATATATGCAGCTGAGTGTTGTATGCAGATCTGTAATTATAAATGAGTGTAATTCAAGTAATTAGTAATTGATTAACTGAATATGATGGTTTTCAATCTAGTTCTTCTAATTTAGAACCTGACCTTGTCTGACAAGTTATACTAATAAAGTCTAAATGCTTACCTAATACCCACTCAAATATTTTTTGTTGTCACGTAATGCTATTTGCACATATACTTCATACTTTTTTTTGCATTTTTATAACCCCTGCATGTTTTTACAAATATTTCCCCAAAAAAAATTACACTGTGATGCTTTGAGACTAGTTCTTCTATCTCCACTTGTTTCTGATCAATCAAGGCCAACTGCTCTTCAGACAAAGCAGTTTTCTCTTGGAGTTGTACTTGAAGATTATTATTTTGAGCATGTACATCTGATATCTCCTTTTGTAAGGCTGTACATTCAAGATTTAAAGAAGCAGTTGTTTCACTCAGCTTGTTTTCTAGTGATGAAATATGTTGAAGACTGTCTTCAAATTTTTCAAAAACCAGCTGTAACTTGGCCTGTGTTTCACCATGACATCTACATTCCTCTTCCAGTTTTTCTTGAAGATTTAAATAACTATCTTTATGAACATACTTCTCCTTTAGTTCATTTTGTAGTTGGGTGTAAACTTCTTTTAGAACATAATCTTCAGTAATTGATTTCTCAAGCTGCTCAATTTTTTCTTCTTGAGATTTCACAGTGGAATCAAAATTCACCCTACTTTCATTCAAAATGCTTATGCTATTTTTAATCAGCTGTTCTACTGTTGACTTCTGTGTCAATAATACATTTGTGATTTGTTTATGGACGATCATATAACTAGACACCGAACCAGCATTGTTATTAGATCTAGATCTACTTAAATTTATTGCCATAGATTTGTGTAAAATCACAGTGTGTAGAGTCCTCAAACTATGAACATCGGTAATGGTTAACACTGAACTTTCTCATTATTTTTACAAGTCAATTCTTTAATTCGGCTAGCTGTTAGCAATTAAAATTTGAGCCTGATTTTAATTTAAAATTACAAATCAAAGGCTAAGCAATCCTTTTTGTAAGATTTTAAAAATATTCTAGTTTAAATTTACACTCTAAATAATGTTTTTTATTTTTTTAAAAAATTTATGAATTTCTTTGAACAATTTGCCATTTTTTAAATCAAATGTGTAGGTTATCCTTCTTGGTTAATTTAAATTTATAAATGGAAATTAGCGTAGGCGAATTAATTAAATACATTTTCTTGATTCGGATATAATTCATCTGAAATTTAAATGAGCAAGATATAAGCCTACATTTTCCATATACAAATGTGTCTATGAATATAAAGGCTAGAGTTGGAAAAGTTTTTTCTTTGTTTGTATTTGATAGTCAAATATATAGCTATGCGTTTAAATCAAACTTTTACATCTTTCGTTAATAAAATAATATTACTAGTTTGATGCTGTTTTTAGAGGCGTTCGAATACAGACAATTCTTTATCTTAAGTCGGGAAAGTGTTTCTTAGTTTGTATTTGTTAGTCAAATATGTGGCTATGTTTTTAAATCAAACTTTTACATATTTTATGAATAAAACAACATTCTATTTTGATGCTGTTTTTAGAGGCGTTCGAATACAGGCACTCCCTTGTCTTATCTACAGCTCAGTCTTAATTCCTTGTAGCGAACATTTGATGCAGAAAGTAAAGTAGTTGACGGATACAAAATTGTTAAAATGTTAAACCAGAACTGAAATACTTTCATTCACTTTCAGAACTGTGCGTTATGTATGCGATGTCTTTCTTGAATATTTAAAATTAAAAAATTGAAAATAATTCTGATGAATTAATAAATCAATTGCTAGGTTCTGAACTAGATGCATTAAACTTTTTAAACGTCATAGACACCGGCCTTTATTTTACAAAGTTTAAAAGTACACTGTTCTTTTCTCTAAACAATGTTTTAGTTTTCATTTCACGTTATTATATATATATATATATATATATATATATATATATATATATAAATATATATATATATATATATACATATATGTATATGTATATATATCTATCTCTCTATCTATATATATAAACAGCAATGTATGTCTGTTTGTCCTTTATTCATTACTACATCTCTCATCACATCTATATATATATATATATATATATATATATGTATATATATATATATATATATATATATATATATATATATATATATATATATATATATATATATATATATATATATATATATATATATATATACTGTATTTATGACATCATATTATATTATATACTGTGCCATATTTAAGGTGCCGTATTTATAGTACTGTATTAGTTCACACTTTTAAAAGGTAAAAAATACTACTATCATTGTCGGTTTTGTGTAGGGGGGTAGATGATAAGGTAAAAACTGAAACCTTGTTCTAGCTTTACCCGCCCCTGATCTGTTGTGTGATTTTCTACAAACAGTAATCATTTTAATCCGTTGGTTCGTCTAGTTATCTAAATGTAATAATTTATTTAAATGCGTATGCATTTATTATAGAGACCGAACAAATGATGAACCCAAACATTCAGAACAGACACAACATTGATAAAACTAAATTTTTAAATATATTAAAATTAATATTTTTAATTCAGCTAGCCATTTATGTAAATTTATCGTCCAATTAAAAATTAAGAATGTCAAACAAAGTTTTAAAACTAAAATTTTATACACAAATTTTAATATTTTTAATTTCCTTAATAGAAAACTCTAGTTTGTGTTTAATTCAATTATTTAATTTATTTATTAAATCAAATAAACAGAGCTAATCGGAGTATGCGTTAACAGTCGAATGATGCGAGCGATTATTTAAATTGAACTTTTTTCCTCATGTCTACAAGACAATTCTTTAATTCGGCTAGCTGTTTGCAATTAAAACTTGAGCCTAATAATAATTTAAAGTTACAAAACCAATGTTAGGCAATCATTTTTATAAGACTTAAAAATATTTTCATTTTAATTTACAATGTTTTATATTTTTCAAAATTATTTATGAATTTCTTTGTACATGTAGCCATGTTTGGGATCAAAGTTATAGGTTATCCTTCTTGGTTAATGTAAATTTATAAATGGAAATGAGCGTAGGCGAATTAATTAAATAAAATTTCTTGATTCGGATATAATTACACTAAGCGATACTTTTTATTCGGAAATAATTACATTAATTCATCTGAAATTTAAATAAGCAAGATATAGGCCTATATTTTCCTTATACACATGTATCTATAAATATAAAGGCTAAAGTGGGAAAAATGTTTCTTAGTTTGTATTTTGTTTGTCAAATATGTGGCTATGTTGTTAACTCATGTTTTACCGTCCATTAATGTGACTTGAGTGGTATATTCTTATAGTTATTAGCCTCTAAATTGGGTAGGAATAGTTTTATAATTGGATTTTATTATCCTAAAAGAACTAGTTGAAATACTTGTTTATGTTTTATGCGAAACATGTGTATGTTTTTATATGAATCAATATGTTTTCATACTTAAACACATAAACAAATAATTATTTAGCTAATTCAAATACCGTAATATGGAAAAAACAATTATTAATTGCTCTTTAAAAACTGGGAAATTTTGTAAATTGTAGCTTTTGGCTCTTGCACCTCAACAGGTTGCCGACCCCTGGCATAGACCCAGAGTATGTACTATTTTATTGTCAATTTTTGACAAGCTCGGCAAATGGTCCAAAAACTGGGGCTTATCCATCAATACCAAGAAAACAACGTATTCAATCTTCACCTTATCAACTAAACATCAAAAAATGAAACTTACACTAGAAAACCAAGAACTAGAAAAAAATGACCACCCCAAATACCTAGGAGTCACTTTTGACACTCGACTTACCTGGAGAAAACAAATAGAAAACACACAAAGTAATGGGATCAAAAGACTTAATCTAATGAGGAAACTGGCAGGAACAGACTGGGGAGCAAATCACCACATCCTGAAAAAAACCTACACCAGCTATGTGAGACCTACGTTAGAATATGGTGCTTCGGCTTGGGGCTCAGCAGCAAAAACAAATATTAGCAAAATTGACAAAGTTCAGAACATTGGATTGAGAATAATGACAGGAGCCATGAAAACAACACCCATAAAAGCTATGGAGGAAATAGCCGCTCTTAGCTCAATAGAAGAAAGAAGAGAATAAAAAATCCTCACTCAATACACAAAGCTAGAGGCACTGGAAAACCATAACCTAAAACAAAAACGCCAGAAACCCAGTCCATCAACCAGACTACAAAGAACTATTTAATTACCTACAGGGCAGTAGTGGTCTTATTTTTTTTTAAAGTGCAATGGTGAAGATAATTTACTCCTACCGTAATTAGACCCTTGCCCATAAACAGAGTTTCTTTCAGGCATCTCTTCGCCCCCCCCCCCCCCCGAAATTTTTTACCGCCCTTCCCCCCCCCCCCCCCCCCAACGAAATGAAATTTACATAATTTATGTAGAAAATATATACTTTTAACAGTGTTCCCCCCACCCCCCCCCCATGAAAGTCTACCGCCCCCCTCCCCCCCCCCCCCGAAAATTTCAAGTGCCCCCCGGAGAAAAAAGTCTGGAAGAAACACTGCCCCTAAACCTAACCAAAACAAGCTCTATCCCAGTACCTAGCCCCAGCCCTAACCATTCCAGCAACAACATGAAGGCAAATGACATTGATTCGATTCTCTGTTTCCCTATTAGAGACCGAAGTGCCAAAAACAACAATGAATCAGCATCTCGCAAGCTTAATTACTTAACCAATCAATAGTTTAGCAAACTAATGTGAAGAGCCTTGAGGTCCAGAGATTCTGGTGCTGCAATGTTATACACGTAATGGAGAAATTATCTCATTTCTATAGTCTTGCAGAAAACCATACTATATATACATATATATATATATATATATATATATATATATATATATATATATATATATATATATATATATATATATATATATATATATATACAAATATATAATACATTTATATACATAAATATATACATATATATACATATATATATAGACCTATTCACAATATATATATACATATATATATATATATATATATATATATATATATATATATATATATATATATATATATATATGCCTAATTGAGCTTGACAATGTTGATTTATCTTTCTCAAATTTATATTTTTGCATGAGGTGGCTAGTGCTCAACTGACTCCCCCTAACTCCGTCACACACATATCGCCTTGACCTTACGCTCTGAGTTCTTTTGTTATCGACACATCCTTAGCATAAACACTCTAAACCTAACGCTATTATGTCCACTCATTCTCTACCCATATCTTATTTAATATCCAATACAGTAGTTTGATATAGTATGACGTCACCTCCTATAAAATACAAAGTGTTTTTCGCCCTTGTCAGCGCACATCTGTGAAGATTGTATGGAAGACCGTGTGGGTTATTTTTGCCGATTTCCTGCCATTTGTGTTTGTCATACAGCCTACAGTAGAAAATAAAAATGTATCGCAACGTACTTCAGTCAACACATTTCTTAAGCAGAATAAGAATTAATAGGATTTCGTCAGGAGTCGTCCATAAATGACGTCACTTTCGTAGATGTGAGAGGGGGTCCGTAATTTTGTGACGTTTTAGAAAACGGTTTTAATAAATTTTTTGACGTTGTGTGATCAGGGTGGGGGGGGGGGGGGGGGCTCAGATTATGTGACGTCACACTTTTGCATCATAAAAAGCAATGTAAGAAAACGAATTTTAGCCGTTATTTTGCGTTTTTAGAAAACGGGTTTGAATTGTAATAGGAATATATTAAAA